ATTGTGGAGCCTGGCTGTGAAGATTTGATCCCATTCCTGCTCATCAATCCCCTTGATCCACTTGCACACAATAAGAATGATTAAATAAAGCTTTCTGCAAAACCAACAACTTCCTGTTTGGGCTTATTTTATCCTTAATATTTTTGTGCTTCGACATTCCCTCGTGATTCTCACAATTCTGTTYAGGAAGGGGAAGAGACTGAACCCACAATTTCTGTTTTCAAGTGTCTTAACTGGGTATTTTCCAGTGATCTCTTGCTTTGCCAGTGGGGCAGGTGATGAGGGGGAAAAAAAGAGGAGGAAGGGACAGGAAAGGTCATGGAAGAGGACACAGAGAAGGGTGACAGTGACACAAGCAGGACCCTGGATCCTCACCCTGCCCTTTTTATGCAGGAAAAAGATTCTCCTCTTGGAAAAGTCACATTCTGAAGGGATTGGTGTCAAAATTCCCCAGCCCTGGCATTGCAGGTCTGAGGCAGCCACCACAATTCCTTTCTTCAGGAATGGTTCAGCTGAGCACATCYCAATTCCTGATGTGTGTGGAGCCCTGAAAATCTGGTCCTGTCCCAACCCCACAGCGTGAAATCGCAGAAATAGAACCTTCAAAATCCCCAAAAAAGGGTTTTCTGCTTTCACCTAGTGGGGAAGGAGCTCGGAAATTCCCTGGAAAAACAGCCCCAGGGGTTCCACAGCAGGGCCAGGAGATGCTCCCAGCACAGATTCCCAAATTCCATCCCAAGTGCAGCATTCCAGCCCCACGGATCCCTCCAGGTGCCACCAGATGCCACCGCCACCCCTTGGGGACACGGCCCGGGGCACTGGGGCCTCGTGGCTCATGCCATAAATAAATATGGATGTGGAGAAATGTAAATAAATATATGTGAATGTGAATAAATGTAAATAAATATATGTGAATGTGAATAAATGTAAATAAATACATGTGGATGTGGATAAATGTAAATAAATACATGTGGATGTGGATAAATGTAAATAAATACATGTGCATGTGGATAAATGTAAATAAATATATTTGGATATGCAGAGAAATGGAAATAATGAATATGCATATATGCAGAGAAATATCAAGAAACATATTGAAATATATGAAAATAGTATATAAAAATTATATACATAAATATAAATAAAGTTATGTATAAATATGTATACATGCAGAGAAATAAGTATAATTCTGTACATATAGAAATATGGAGAGAAATACAAATATATTCATAAATATATTTGTATATATGCAGAGAAATAGAAATATATCTATAGAACAGATAAATATATTAAGAATATAAAAAATGCATATAAATTCTATATAGAAAAATATAGAGAAATATCAATATATTTATAAATATATTTCTATAAATGCATAGAAATAGAAATAAATATAATATTTATATCTTTAAGTTACATATTATAAGTATATGTTTATTATAAATAAATATATATTCCACAGAGTTCAGGAAGGTGTAAATAAATGGAAGAATATATGGGTAGAAATAGAAATGAAGCTCTACAGAATATACAGAAATAAAGCTGCATAGAAATAGAAATAAATGTGTATAGAAATAGAAATAAATGTGTATAGAAATAGAAATAAATGTGTATAGAAGTGGAAATAAATGTGTGTGGAAATAGAAATAAATATGTATATGCAGAGAAACA